AGCTAATATCTCATGCCGTGCACATCACAGCTGTCCTGAGTGCGTTAGGGACTCTGTTCTGGAACGGGGTAACTGTGTAAAGCCTGGGGCAGCTGTAGGGACTCAGCTGCAGGTGACTGTGGCACGTGTCTGTGGCCACAAGGAATAAGGACATCCTGGGATCTACAATCAGGAAATATGTTGGTTAAGAAACACTGAGCTTTTTATTTGGCTCCTGTGCTAGTAGCAACAGCTACAGAAGGAAGAGAGAAGAGCCATAACATGAGTAAAGAGCTCAAGCCCAGCACATCAAGCCTCCTTGAGGAGCTCCAGGCTGTCCAGCTTCTCCAAGAGAAGATAGAGGGTGGCTCAGTGACAGGCAGCCAGGCAAGACCCTAGAAAAGGGTCAAAAGAGACCCTAAAAAAGAGACAACCCCAAAAGAGGTTGTAAGCACACATTAGGCATCAAAACTTTGATCTAAAAAGGAGCTGTACCTGCAGTTCTGCTCCCGTGTGCCCCGCACCACTGTGGCCATGGACCTCACGGCTCCGCTCTGTGCTTCTGCCCTGCTGGCTTCCCCCTGGCACACATGCAGCTCACTGAGATTTGGGTTCCTGAAGACAGACATTAAACGTGGACGTGCCTGGATCTAGCTCTGAGTGGGGAAAAAGAAGTTTGGCAGCAAGGGACTTTTCCCTGTTGCAAAGTGAGACGTTTTGAGAATAAAAAGCTGGAGGAAGGAACATGACAAATTCAGACATGAGGCAAAAAGCAGTAATATTTAACAATGTGGGCAACTAAGCGGTGGAAGACCATGTTAAGGTCTGTGGTTGATTGTTCATTGCTGAATATTTTACACCAAAATGTGTTTTCCTCAAAGAGATCCTTCAGTTCAAGTGGGAATTAATTAGGTCAGGGTTGTTCTCTGACCTGAGGTAGGTAGAAGATGATGCAGATAATCCACATACTCCCTCTGGCCTTGTGACTAATTCACTTTGGTACAGTTATCCCTGATGCAAGGAGATCAGTTTGGAGCTGCGCTTGCCCGGAGGAACTCACAAGCTAATTATATTTGTTGTGTCAACCCATTAGATTCTCATAGGCTGCCTGCAGACTCGTTGGTTAGACTGAATTATGCCTTTGCTCTGTGAACTTTTATCAAAATATTCACATCTAACATGTTTTATGGTCTGCCACTGCTAGTCCCTTTTTGTACACAAATTTTGGTGGTTAACAACATACAGACTTTGAATCCGCGTGCTGGTTTCGGTTATTTCACAAAAGATTGAGACTCTGGTGGCTGGTGTCATTCGGGTCTTTGAAATGTATTTTACTTCTGATGGAATTTTGTATTGTTGGATTTAAAAAAAAAAAAAAAAAAATATTTGTTTCAGGCCTCAGAAAATTTGTTTTAAAAAAGCTTCCTGTAGAAGACATGGAATAGCTCACAGATGGGAGACCCTGCAGGCCCCAAGGGTCCCAGAGCTGCACAGGAGGTTTCACAGGTCCACGGTCTCTCCAAATGAGCAGGATGTTCATGGAAAGTGTGATGTGATGGAGAAGTCTAAAAATAATGGCAAATCCATAAGGGCCCTGGATTCAGTGCAAATGGGGCTGCTTGCTTGGAGCTGGCCCTGGACTACCCCAAACTTTCCCAGGGCACAGGTAGGGGATCAACCTCGTGCTGTGAAACCCCCCGGCCTCCACAATTCCCTTGGCGCCCGGAGCAGATCAGCTCATTCCTTCCCTTCCCACTTCAAGAACAAACCTCCAAACCACAGCTAGAAATTTGGTTGAGAGAGAAACTGGGGAGAGTTTGGAAATGCCCCACCACCTCCCAGCAGCAGCGATGCTCAGTCTGTCTGGGAATAGGCTCTTCTGTCCAGCATCCCAATCCCGGGCCGCTCCAGAGGAAGGATCCTGGTGTCCCACAGAGCACCAAGAGCCACTCCAAGGCTGCCGTCTTCCTTCAGGGAAAACTCCACAACTTGCATCCCCGCTCCCGTGGCAGTTTGCTTAATGGGCGGACAGAGGTTTTAATGGCTGTTCTCCAGCACCTAAGTATTTTTGCTGGCAGGAGGGGAGCAGGGTGGGGAGGTTTTCAGTTAACAAAATGGTTGCTATGCTCTGACAAGATCGCTGAGGATCTTACGGAGAGGGAATCTGATCTCCTTCCAAGCAACCAAAGGGGTTTGTGCCGCGGCCTACGTGTGAGGCATGCGTATTCCAGGAGAACAAGGAGCTTTTACAGCCTGGGGACGGCAACATCTGCGCGGAAACAACACTCGCAATCACACGCTGTCCCTGTTCCTTGTGATCGCTCCATTATTTTAACTCAGGGCCAGACGCGCACCCTCCCTCACACGAAGCTCCTGACAGCCCCTCTCTGCTGCTCCAGGTATCCGCGGTGTCCCCAGACACCCCTCAAATCTCCCGTGTAACCTTCCGATGTTCAGGATGGGCCTAAGAGGGAGCTGCAGCTCCCAGGGGAAAAGGGCGAGCGCAGGCCCAGGGCCTGGGGCCACACAGGGATGGAGAGACCTTCCTTGCACTCACTTCAACAGCTTCCCGAGCGAGCCAGGGACAGGGCTGCGAAACAAGTGGGAGGAAAAGCTCCTTGCGTAACACTTTGGCACTGAAAGCGGGTCTCAGCGGGTCTGGAGGGAGGAGGAGGAATGTGGCTTTTAAGAAATAAACACTCTGGCCCTACGTCGTAAGTGCTGGATGCTCCTGTTCTCCCAGAGGGTCGCACGGGGGTTTATGATGGGCCAATATGTTCTGTCTTTTAGCCCCGCTGTCCCTCCTCTGAAAACAGCTGTGCGAAATGGAACATTCCAACTGTTGCCCTTAAAAATAATCCGTAATTCCTTGGCCGCAGCGCAAAGGGAGGGGCCCAGCCCCAGCTCTTTCCTCTGCCACAAATGTCCGCGCTTGCGGCTACCAGCGAGTCCCGTGGTCCCGCTCTGCGGAGAGTTACACAACTGCAAACCTGCGGTTTCGGTTTAGCAACAACTGCTCCGTAGCACCCGCGTTTCCACTCCTCCATCCCAATCCTCCTGAGCTCCTTGGGCACCGTGGCCCTTTTCCTGTGCTTTTACATATCAAGTAGATCCAACACCAAAATAAACGCTGAACGCCAAAGTTGCCTTCGTTCCACCTTGCAGAGCTTACAGAAGTGATCCTGGCTGTATTAAACGTGAACGAAAGCTCCCACGGGGAGCATCCATCTGAGTGGTTCATAAAAACACTTCAGTGGGTCACTCTTGGTTGAACTTCACGGTCACATAAGGTGGGTAATGGAGTGCGACCAGCAGAGTCCTTCTCCTCAGAGAGCACTGATAGAAACATAACTTCTGTCGCTTGTTTCTCCTCCAAAGCAGCAGAGTGACTAGAGATAAATTGGGATTGTGTAACTCTTTCATGAAGAAATTCCAACTGTTTTTTTTCCTGTGGAACTGCCTTGTGCAGTGAAATGTTCCTGAATCCCAGTCCTTAATATGGGCCATCTGGAAGGGAGAATCTAATCAGCCTCTAAAAATCCAGCCAGGTTTATTATCACTTTCTTTTGCAGTTGACTTTTAAGGGAGATGATCCTATCAGGAGGAGGTCTGAAGGAAAAGCGAGCTGCAGGTACGTGCATTTAATGTGTGTTGATGCAGGCACTGACGAAGAAGTTGCTTTTTCCCCTTCCAGCCTTCGCTGTCTGTTTTCCAGGAGCTGCTGCTCAGCTCCGTGCTTCCCGGTAGCTTCTTCCCTTCGTCCACACCCTCTGCGTGGGGCCTGAGCCTCCTCTGGGCCCGCCGGGGGCACCGCCGCGGGGCTGCAGGAATGAGGGCAGCCTCTGCAGTAACGCTGGAGTTTTTCTCTATCATCTCAGAGCTCTCGTGCTCAGGGCACACCTGCATAACATCTTTTGCTAAATATTTCTATTTCCTTTCCCTGTTTGCTCCGGGCCTTGCCCTGCCCAGCTCGTCCCAGGCTCCGAGGTCACCCGGTGGCAGCTTGGCACCGGCAGCTTGGATCCCCGGAGGGCGATCCCTGCGCTCGCAGAACCACGAAGCAAAACTGCTGTTCATTTCCAAAACCGCTGCTCGTTTCCATGAATTTGGAGTGGGGACAATGTGCCAAGGAGCTTGGCGAGGGGCTCCCCACGGAGGTGTCGCTGCCGAGGCCCTCGGGAGCAGGGCAGGCACTGCCCGAGGGACTCACCCCGTGTTTATTTATCCTGGGAAGCCGGGCTTGGACCCGACCCAGGCGCCGGTGTCAGTGCCCCGCGGTACTTCAGCCTCTCTCCAACACACGTCTTCTCCCCTCCTTTGCTTTTTATTTTTGGCTGCACGAAGATTGAAGCTACCTCTTTAACAAGTCCTGTAGTGTTTAGCCTGGGGTTAAATGTGATCACGAGGAGGGATTGAGTTGGCAGAGATGCTAAAGGAACTTCTAGTGCAGACTGTGAATGTGTGTTTTTTAGGTTTTTTTTTTTTTTTTTCAGGTGGGAAGAAATGAGTGTGATGATGATGCCCTGGTTGCTGCTGCTGCTGCTTCTCCTGGTCAGCTTAGGCTCCCCTGCACCCAGGCTTTCTGTGCGTATCCCTTAGCTTGGCTCTGCTTAACCCCTGGTTAAGCAGGGGTTGGTGCCGGTGACTTCACATTTCTGGTTGTGATCCCCAACAAGAGACTGAGCAAAGAGGAGCCTGTCTGCAGCTAAAGGAAGGCTGTTCTTGCTGTTCTTGCTGTCCTGATAATTTAATGCTTTCACAGAATTAGGGTCTGGGCAAATTTATGCTTGACTGCACCAACTTTACCAGGAATCTGCTATCCTAGGCAACTGTTTATTTTGCTCTGGCCTAGAACTGGTCCCCGTTTGGTATCACTCAAGAAAAGAATGACCCAAGTGATTCTTATATCATATGGGTTTGCTTATATCATATGGGAAGAGATTTTGCTGTTTTCTTGATGGTTTTGATGGGATAATGCTAGCCACAGATGAGTGTTGCTGAAAATGTCGATCCCAGCCAACATGGGCCAGATTCTGGTTTTGGTTAGGGTAACGCTGCTCTGAGGTTACTCCACTGACTCTGGTGCGCTCTCTGCTTTCAGCAGATCCGCACCAAATATTTATGCATACTTATCTTCCAGTTTGACAAGAAGAGGTTTCTGGAATCTCACTGGTCTGGCCTACCTGCAGTGCTAGAGCCATTTTTCCCCTCTTATTATTCTGAGCAGTTTCACAGCCTGCGAACACTTCCTTTGATTTCATTAAATGGGAGTTGAGCTGAAACTCACTTGCCAAAGTCACTTTTTTTCATATTTTGTCATATTCTGTGGACCCTACATCAGTAGCAAGACCACTGTAAAAACCCCTCTTCCACTGGATTTAGCTCAACAGACCAGGCTGCAAGATTCATGTCTTTTGGAGAAGAACCATGTGTGACACGGTAGGATTAAGGCAAAATATGTACTCATTGCTTCTGTCTCTCTGTTCTTACCCCTGTACTTTCTTTTTTCCCTCATAGGAGAAGGATATCTGCCTCCTAGATAACAGCAAATTAAGACAAAGGTTAAAACAGCTTCAGGATCTGCTCTACATATATGAACTACAGCTGAAGGACATCTTGGAGAACACTTACCATGGAGCAAAGAGCAAGCTGTTCTCAGGCAACAGGAGCATGCAGCACGAGGTGCTTTTACCCACCACCAGTGGAAATTTGATAGTCTATGACCCAGGTACATTTTGCAGTAGAACAAAGAAATTTCAGCAGAATGAAACGCTTGTTTCTTCCCACAGTGTCGCATTTGGGGCTATATTTGATTTCTCCTACTGCGAGAAAAGCTTTTTAATTTTTGAAATGTTCAGGAGAGTTGTGTTTCCCAGGGCAGTCAGATGCAGCTACAGTAGCATGTCACACACGTCTACGTCTGGGCTTGTCACCCCAGACTCCCAGTGCAGAGAGGAACAGTCATCTCGGGTGTGATCTGCTGGGCCTGCTTCAGACATCTGCTTTGGGAAGAGAGAGGCTGTGCCCTTCAATATTGTCATAGCTGGAAATGTAGGCTGATTTAACCTGTGGCCAATATTTTATCACTCATGAGCCTTAGATTTAAAATGGAAAGCACTGAGGTTCTGAAGGCCTCCTGAATACAAGCCTGATACAGCCTGTCACAGGAATTGAGCTTGTTTTAGAAATTCTAGGCCGTTGTCCATCCTGAAATCCAGCCCCAGTTCTCTTCCACATGGAAATTACACATGGCAGTAGGATGTGCATCATTCCCTTCAGCTGCTCTGAAGAGCAACAGGACCCATCTAGACCCATCTAGTCCTATTTTTGTCTCTGTGCAGTGCCTGCTGACAGAGACAGCCCTGGTCCTACCCGCCTTACTTGTCCTTGCCCCAGCCAGGGCTGCATCCCTCCTGTATCTCACCAATGCTTAGGGAATGGTAGTAAAGCTCTTGAAGCTGCGTCACTAATACCACGTTGAAGCTCTTGCTCGAGTCTTGCTGGGCTTTCAAAGACCTGACCAGACACGTGTCCTTGTCCCTTACAGACTCTCAGTGATGCCTTCTCTTGGCTGTTTGCTTGTCTCTCATTTACCAAACCAACATGGTTCTGCTTAGATTGCTCTGCAGTATTCGATAGGAAGAAGACCCAGAATGGATACTACAGGATCCGGCCGCGGGCAGAGCGGGAGCCCTTCCTGGTGTACTGTGACATGTCCGATGGCGGCGGGTGGACTGTAATTCAGCGGCGCAGTCACGGCAAGGAGAATTTCAACAGGTGGGTGGCTTCGTGTCCTGTCAACATGTCTGACAGCGAGGCCTCCAACTTTCCCTGCACTGGCTCCCAAATTTGAGAAGCTAAATTTGCAGGATTAACTCTCTGGATAACAGCAATGCAGGGACAGTCATTGTGAGCATGAGCCCATTTTTAAAATGTTCTTGTGATGCGGATCTCTTGAAGTGAGCGCAGCGCATTGTGGAGTGACCTCAAGTAGCTCTAAGGTGGCTTGCCCAAGAGCTGTGCTCACCTAGCCAGGGTAGTTCAACTCTCAGCAGAGACGGAAAAGGAGCTCAAAGCAGACCCAGATATTTTAAATTAATTTAATACCCAGACATTATAAATTAAAACATAGGAAGTTCCATCTCCATGTGAGGAAGAACTTTCCTGTGAGGGTGACAGAGCCCTGGCACAGGCTGCCCAGGGAGGTTGTGGAGTCTCCTGCTCTGGAGATCTCCCAAACCCGCCTGGATGCCACCCTGTGCCCCATGCTCTGGGTGTCCCTGCTGGAGCAGGGAGTTGGACTAGATGATCTCAAGAGGTCCCTTCCAACCTCAGCCATCCTGTGATTTCCTTTTAACTTCATCCAGATGCTCTTGTTTGCATCTTCTATTCAGTTACTGCATCACAGCCAAGACTGTAGCACATAGCAGACTGCAACATTAATTTCCAACTAGGAGTGAATTTGAATTTGACTTTATGAGGATCGATGTCAGACACTGCGCTGGGGACTAATGTGACAGCTCCTGCATTCCCTTTCCACTTCGCTTCTGAGCTTGTTCTGCAAGCAGTGCATGTGACAGTTGGAAAGACTGATCCCAATGTATGCATGTGCACGGGTTTAACATGCAAAGAAATAAGATGTGGGTTGTATTTACTTCTAAGGCTCAGTGACAAATATCTGCTCAGCTGTGCTGAATCAGATACTTTTATAAAACAGTGTCTAGAAATACAGCGGAAGACTTACTTGTTACCACAGCTGGGTACCACGAACTGTCTAATTCCCTCACATGATGATTTTGATATCTGTATTTTGCTGCAGGAATTGGGATGAGTACAAACTGGGATTTGGAAAATTCCAGGGGAAGAATGATGAATACTGGCTGGGCAATGAGCACATCTATGACCTGCTCGCTCAAGGTACGAGTATTTTCCCTCCACAGATTCCCTTCCAATTTGCATGAGATACCTCATCTGACAAATACTGCTTCATATTTAGGGGAGACCTTGTTGAAGATTGACCTGATGGACTGGCATGGAGAAAGACGTTATGCCATCTATGAAAAATTCCAGCTCACAAATGAGCAGGTAAGAAATGGAGAAAGTGGTGATTTTCTTGTTTTATTGGTGAGTGTAATTGGTGGTGATGCTCTGTACAGCATCAGCTGCACAGGTTTTAGTGTCAAGGTTGTAATTACAGCTCTGCAAAAACTCACCAGCCCTCGTTCCCTGGGATTTCTGGTTTGGCTGACAGGATTCAAGGTGAGGAGAGGTAGGTCCACATCACACTGCTTGCAGACCAGCCATTGCCTAACCCCAGAAGAGCCTTCAGCTCTTCCCATCTACCTGGTAGGTACCTGCCATAGCCTTGTCTGTGCACATGCCCAAAGCTCCCTCAGGTGATAGCTCTTGCCTAAGCCACCCTGAAATCCTAAAACAAAGGGTATATCTGCAAGATCCTCAAGAAAATGTCCTGATTTTAATGTAGGGCACTCCTCCAGTTGAGCACAGGGAGATCTGGAATTCCCATCCTTATTCCTGCTCCTGTTTCTGGGATAGATAATCCATGTTTTCTGGGTGAAAACAGTCCGGAGAGCAGGGATCTGAGCCGTGGCCTCCTTCTTCCCAACTGCAGAGCACTCAGACCACAGAGTTAGTCACACATGCTCCCTTGCTGGCTGCTGAACCACAAACTGCCTGCTGCACAGAGGTGAGCTCCCTGCCCCAGGGTGCAGGGGCTCCCACATGCACTGGCCTTATGACTAAAAAGCATTCCCGAGGGAGCAGAGATGGGCTTGGATCTCTGCAGGGAAACTGAACCCTGTTCCATTTCACAGAGGAGTGTCTTAGGCTATCACACAAAAGACAACCACTGTAATACTCCCCATGACTCTTCCATTATGCAGTGAAATCCAATCAAAGCTTTGAAAGAATAGTTATAAGCTCCTATCTTGAAGAGAAATATCTGTAGCACTATCCTTAATGTACTAGGCACAAAGAGCCAGAAGACAGACACGTAGCAGTATTTCCATGCTTGTTTGCTGGCCTTTGGACAGCTTCCTTCCTTCCTTGAGGCAAGGGCTGTTTTCTTCAGGGCTACCGCTCTGCACACCTGGAAGCTCAAAGATTTGAGTTCCACTGCATGGACCAATCCTGCCTCCAACTCATCACATTCCAGAAATGTGTGCGTTTTGCTCAGTTCCTTATGAAAAGGTAGCACAATTTGATTTTAATGCCTTACTGATAATTTTTTCCTAAATAAAAAACAAATACAATGACAGGAAAAAAAAAAACACAAAATCACAAAAATTATCATCCAACTCTTATCAAATGCCTCTTGGATTTCTTAGCTGTGTGCAATGGAACTATTCCTGCAAGGACTGCTACCAGGACAGGATCACTCAGCTAAAACCCAGATGCTTCTAGTTCTTGGAGGAGGACTTGTTTTAGCTGAGCCATGATCAGTCTATGAAGGCAGTTACTTGGCCCATAGCGTTTGCTCTTGATGGAAGAATCTTATTATATAATGAATCGAATGGTCACTGAAAGACAACAAAATCTAAAGTCCTTTGTAGCAGCAGCAGTAGGTAGCAATCTGTTCCTAAATCCCAAAGGGATTTAGGCTGGTATCATTAAAGCACAGGGCCAAAAGTGACCCTTGACATCAACAGTGTCGTACCTTTGGATACAATGGATAGAACAAATTTCATTTCAAAACGGGGATGGAAGGCAAAAAGGGCTGATATCCAAAATGTGCTTCCCATATTGTTCTTGCAGGACAACTACAGGTTATGGTTTGGCACCTATTCTGGTAACGCTGGCGACGCTCTGTCTGGGGGGAGCAATTTTGAAGAGCAGTGGTCGGCCTCGCACAGAGGGATGCAGTTCACCACATCTGACAAGGACCATGACCGATTCCTGGGAGGCAACTGTGCGCTGGAGAACAAGGGTGGCTGGTGGTTTAACAGGTATGGAAACCAGTTGATTTCACTCAGCCCTCAGCAGGAAGCAGAGCACGTGGGCGGCAGCTGCAAGGCCGTGTCTGCCTTAGGGCAAACAGCATTTTTTCAGAGCAGGTTGGTGTGTGCACGAGTCACCTCACACAGCCAGACCTGGGGTGTTTGTAAGATAGATCCTCAGAGGAAAACTATCTGCTTCTGTCACTGTCAAGCAAAGGAGATAAGTTGCAATCACTTTACAAAGAGGTTCAGAGTGAAAACAAAGGGTAAATGAGAGGGATGGAGAAGAGCCTGGCTGAAATGTCCATAGAAAGAAAACAACTTAAGCCCCTGTAAAGTGACGTGTGCAGAAAGGACATTTCTATGTTGTCAAGAGTGCCTAGGGGTGAGCTACAAACATTCACTTGGGTCATTTTCTGGTAAAGCATGTCCAGCATACAAGCAGTTGTGGAGTCAGGTTTACGAGCCCTGGGTGCATGGACATTCACAGATTCACAGATTCACAGAATATTTAAGGTTGGAAGGGACCTCTACAGATCATCTAGTCCAACCTTCCTGCTCAAGCAGGCACACCTAGAGCATGTGGCACAGGGCGGCATCCAGGCGGGTTTTGAAGACCTCCAGAGTAGGAGACTCCACAACCTCCCTGGGCAGCCTGTKCCASKGCTCTGTCACCCTCACAGTAAAGAAGTTGCTCCTCACCTGGAGATGGAACTTCTTGTGCTTCAGCTTGTGGCCATTACCCCTCGTCCTGTCGCTGGCCACCAGTGAAAACAGCTTGTTTTGACATGCGACGCACAGGTGTTTCTCTCTGCTCTAGTGCGGGAGGAGCTTCTTCTCTAATGCTAGGCCCTCATCATCACACAGTCACAGAATCACAGAATATGCATTGAAGTCAGTGGAGCTACAAAAGTGTACATCAACAGTGGGATTCAATTTGATTAAAAGACACTTAAGTTCTTAAATGTCAATATGTAGGTGCTGTCTTTTGAACTGGAGGCTCTGTTCAGCAACTGAAACATGTCCATAGTCAATACAAAGAAGGGAACCATCGAGTTGATTCTGCTGACCACCATAATTGTCTGCTTTAGGAGGAGCCACATATTTCTATGAGCTCCACAGACTATATTAACCAGATCTGCATTGGTTGCAGTGGAACTTTAGATAACCAGTTTACTACAGACGGATACATCCATGCAGTGTATCCCATGGCCCCATTGGGATGCACCCAAGAGTGCTGAGGGAACTGGCAGGGGTTGTTGCTCAGGTCCTCTCCATCCTCTTGGAGGGGTCTTGGAGAATGAGGGCGGTGCCTGAGGACTGGAAACCAACATCACTCCAGTCTTCAATAAGGTCAAGAGGGAGGAGCCAGGAAACTCCAGGCCGGACAGCCTCACCTTTGACCCTGGAAAGGTGATGGACCAGCTCATCCTAGAGAGCATCTCTAGGCATGTGAAGGAGAAGGAGGTGATCAGGAGTAGTCAGCATGGATTCACCAAGGGGAAGACATGTTTGACCAACCTGATAGCCTTCTACGATGGGATGACTGGCTGGCTGGATGATGGGAGAGCCATGGATGTTGCCTACCCTGACTTCAGCAAGGCTTTCAACATCATCTCCAATAACATCCTCATAGGAAAGCTCCAGAAGTGTAGGTTGGATGAGTGGACAGTGAGGTCACATGGTGACATGATGAGGATGAGTGGACTTTGAGACTTGGATGGATGGCAGAGCTCAGACGGTGGTGATAAATGGGGCCGAGTCCAGTTGGAAACCAGTGGCCAGTGGTGTCCAACAGGGGTCAGTGCTGGGCCCGGTGCTGTTCAACCTGCTCATCAACTACTTGGACGAGGGCACAGAGTGCACCCTGAGCAAGTTTGCAGATGACACCGAGCTGGGTGGAGTGGCCGACACTCCGGAGGGCTGTGCTGCCATCCAGAGGGACCTGGACAGGCTGGAGAGTTGGGCAGAGAGGAACCTCATGAGGTTCAATAAGGACAAGTGCAGGGTCCTGCACCTGGGGAGGAATAACCCCAGGCACCAGGACAGATTAGGGGTGGACCTGCTGGAGAGCAGCTCCACAGAGAAGGACCTGGGAGTCCTGGTTGACACCAAGTTAACCATGAGTGAGCAGTGTGCCCTCATGACCAAGAAGGCCAATGGGATCCTGGCTGCATCAGGAGGATGTTGCCAGCAGGTCAAGGGAGGGGATCCTGCCCCTCTCCTCAGCACTGGTGAGGCCTCACCTGGAGTATTGTGTGCAGTTCTGGGCTCCCCAGTATAAGAGGGAAAAGTGGAGCTTCTAGAGAGGATCCAGAGTAGAGCAACAAAGATGATTAAGGGGCTGGAACATCTCTTGTATGAGGAGAGACTGAGTGAGTTGGACTGTTTAGCCTGGAGAAGAGAAAGTTGAGAGGGGATCTGATCAATATGTACAAATATCTAAGGGGAGAATGTAGGGAGAAAGGGGCCAAACTCTTCTTGGTGGTCACCCGGAACAGGACAAGAGGTAATGGATATAAGTTGAAACACATGCAGTTCTATCTCCATGTGAGGAAGAACTTCTTCCCTGTGAGGGTGACAGAGCCCTGGAACAGGCCGCCCAGGGAGGCTGTGGAGTCTCCTTCCCTGGAGATCTCCCAGACCCACGTGGATGTCACCCTGTGCCCCATGCTCTGGGTGTCCCTGCTGGAGCAGGGGGTTGGACTAGATGATCTCCAGAGGTCCCTTCCAACCTCAACCATTCTGTGCTTCTGTGATTCTGTGAATACTGACCCTGCTGTCATGTCTCTCCACCCTCAATGTTCCTTTCCCTCGCTCTCTCATTGCCACAGGTGCCACGCTGTGAACCTCAATGGACGATACTACAAAGCAGGAAGCTACAGCGGCTCCCACGACGACGGCATTGTTTGGTCTACCTGGCACGGGATGTGGTACTCCCTAAAATACACGGCCATGAAAATCAGGCCTCCCTTCTTTGTTGACAGGGAGAGTGGAGATGGGGAGAACAGTCAGGATAGCTGAAATCTGCTGCTTTCAAGAGAAGTGTAGCTACAAAGAACTGCAGAAACCCATAGCCAGTCCGCCCATTGCTAACCTGCTGGGCACCTGGAGCTGCATCTGTTCCTACCGGTTGAGGTCAAAGACATGAGCTGCTTAAGCACCAATAATCTAATGGGAACTATGTGGATCTCAGTCATGGAATAAACACAGTTTTCTTCTTCCATAATTCTCAGGCTTTCATTGGAGAGTGTTTATATGAAGTTCTCCGGAACTCCGGAGTCAAGCATGTTATTTCTGCTATCTGTACTTTTCAATAGTTTAATCTTTCTCACTTTGTTTTTAACGGTCACTATCCAGTTATGAGAGCATAAACACAGAAACAAGAGGATGATGACGAACTGGCCTTCTCTGGTGTCCCTTCATTAGGGTTTTACTTAGGTCAGGAGCAGGTTTTTAAGCAGCTCCCTCTACTGTCCCCCATTCCCACCCTGCAGCCTCAGAACAACCCTGGAGCGTGTGACTGGATTCCTTTCGGAGGAGACTAAAGCAGACGATGCAGTGCAGCTGCTGAGGAGCATGCAGGCCAGGCCTATTCTGAAGTAATCCCCGCAGAGCAGAGGCCACGTGGGCACTGGCCTTCATCAGCATCAGCTTCACTGCGCGCATCCACTGCTACCGTGTACCGCCACACGCACACACAGCTGGTGCTGCCAACCAGACTTTGACTACGTGGATTTCACTAATTTTAAGTTGAGCTCAGATACTCTCAGGAGTTTGCAGAATGCTGTCGTGATTCAGCCGTGTTTTCTTCATCAATCTAACAGGCAACTTGGAGTTAATAAAGGGAAAAGAGAAGATGGAAAATGAGTGAAACATGAGGCACGTTAATTTCACTGTCTCACATGAAATGAAAAAGTAACTCAAATGACTGAAAGAAAGGGAGTGAAAATGACTGAAATGACTGAAAATTTCTTTTCTAGGAAGTTGTTAGTTACAGCTAAAAATTAACAGTAATATCACCCTGACACAAATAATTTTAACTTTATCTGTATTTTTTCTGAATTTTGTGCCTATTTTTTTTCTGAATTAAAATAACGATCTTCTAATCTTCTAAGACAACTGAGTTCTTTTCCATTTATTTGCTTTTAGATCAATATATATTGTATGTTGTATGATATACTCATGAAATGTGAAATAAAGCCATCTGAGTAAGACTTGGCACTTTGTATCTCTTTTTAAACAGTAGGACATTGAGCAGAGATTTGGGTGAAAGTCCTACAAAAGCTGATGGTCCAAGAGATTTTATTCTCTTGTTGTCCTCTCTGGTGCTTTTGCGCTTGCTGTCCTGGTTAGTTTAGACAATCCGTAAGGAACATGCTCTATGTGTGCCTGCTTGAGCAGGAAGGTTGGACTAGATGATCTCTAGAGGTCCCTTCCAACCTTGAATATTCTGTGATTCTCATGGCTCGAGCATGTCCTAGAGACATTGTTGAGACATGTGCACCCGGAGCACTGTGTGCAGTTCTGGACTCCCCAATATAAGAGGGATGTGGAGCTTCTAGAGAGGGTCCAGCAGAGAGCAACCAGGATGATTAAGGTACTGGAGCATCTCTCGTATGAGGAGAGACTGAGTGAGCTGGGCCTGTTTAGCCTGGAGAAGAGAAGGCTGAGAGGGGATCTGATTAACATGTATAAGTACCTGAAGGGGGAATGTAGGGAGGAAGGGGCCAAGTTCTTCTCAGTGGTGGCCAGTGACAGGACAAGGGTCAATAGGTGTAAGCTGCAACACAGGCAGTTCCATCTCCATGTGAGGAAGAACTTCCCTGTGAGGGTGACAGAGCCCTGGCACAGGCTGCCCAGGGAGGCTGTGGAGTCTCCTTCTCTGGAGATCTTCCAAACCCGCCTGGATGCCGCCCTGTGGCCTGTGCTCTAGGTGTCCCTGCTGGAGCAGGGGGTTGGACTGGATGATCTCTAGAGGTCCCTTCCAACCTCAACCACTCTGTGATTCTGTAATGTGGCTATTCAGGGTGAAATTTGGTAGTTTTGGTTCCTCTGCTTTTTGGTCTCATTTTTCCTAGACTTCCCAAGGCCTGCAAGGCGAGGCCTAGTGCTAGCACTGCTGTGCATGGTGCTCCTTAAGCCCGTGCCCTGGCCAGATCTGTCCTCTTTCCAGTCCCTGGCATTGACCCAGGTTGGACCAGAGCAACATCCACATCCCTGGAGCGAGTCTGTCCTTGTGAAGAAGGAGGCCTCACTCCTTCACTGCAGTCTTAGACTTAAGCTGTACCTAGGTCCCCCTCATGTATTCCAGCAGCTGTCTGACTGTGGGCAGACACTGAGAAGAGGTTGTAGAAAGGACTTCCCCTCCCTTGCTGCAACTGCAGCAGGAGGGGGGCTCCCCTGCAGGTACAGGGTGCTCCAAAACCTTTTCTCTTTTTCATAATAAAAAGAGCAGAAATGAATCATAGAATGAATCATAGAATGCTTAAGGTTGGAAGGGACCTCAGAAGTCATCTAGTCCAACCTCCTGCTCACACAGGGTCACCTAGAGCACGGGGCACAGGGCTGCGTCCAAGCGGGTTTTAAAGATCTCCAGAGCAGGAGACTCCACAACCTCCCTGGGCAGCCTGTGCCAGGGCTCTGTCACCCTCACTGTTAGGAAGTGTTTCCTCAAGTTCCTGTGGAACTTTTGGTTTCTCAGCTTGTGGCCGTTTCTCCTAGTCCTATCACTGTCCACCACTGAAAAGAGGCCGCCCCCTCCTCCTCACTGCCTCCCTTGAGGTATTTATACACGCTGATCAGGTCCCCCCTCAGCCTCCTCTTCTCCAGGCTGAACAGGCCCAGCTCCCTCAGCCTTTGCTCAAATGCAATTAGCCAGGCACCAAGAGCTAGAGCCGAGCTCCACCTGGCTACAGGAGCGTTTGCAGAGTGCTGCTGTGCAGCCTGTCTGATGCTCCCCGTTTCTCCAGGGTCTCCTGCACGGCTCTAGGAGCAGGTTCCCAGCTCGAGCCGTTCCCCAGCGGGCAGCTCGCTGCTCCATTGGGAATGTGCTCCACACAGCGGCGCTTCCCTCGGCACAGGGTGGCATGAAACGTGAGCTGTGATTGCCTGAGAGGTCTCACTTCCAGCTCATTCCAGACAATTTAAAGGCGAGTTGCCTGGGATGAGCTCTGGATCCGTCCTCAAGTGCGGACATGTTCCAAAACACTTCAGCCAGCATTTTAGGCTGATAATTAACGGGATACGTGCGCGGGAGCACGTAGATAGGTAGGCTGTGCCGGGCCGCGCTGTGCCCCTGCGTGCTGGGATGGCTCCGAGGAAGCAGGGACCCACACGGAGGTTGGACCCCGCACACTCCAGCAGCTGGGATTGCAATGCAGCAGGAGCACCGGGACCACGGCGCCAAGCACGGAGGCCCTGGCTCCTCCGAGGCTGCTGCAGAAGGCCCTACCCCCCGTGCACACGAGCTGTGGACACCTACAGGGGTGCCATCAAACCAACTGAAGCACAACAGGTACTGCTCTTTCAAAACTGCTGGTTTGGGGAAAATGTTTAAGTTTGCAAATGGATCTTTCCATTCTGGAGGCCAGTTCTGAGCAAGGGCACCAGGCACGTGCTGCTCTTGCCTTCGCACCCCACATGGGCTGACCGGCATGTGGGGCTCAGCCCTTCACAGCAGTGCTGCTCTACAGCTAGCAGCTCTGGGCTTGCACATCCCTTCTCTCACGCAGTCCTCAGGTGCCAACATCTTCTCCTCCTCTTCCCGCGAGCGTTCCTTGCAAACCCTCTGAAGAGATGGATATTCTAACAAATGGAAGATAAGTGTCTGAGTCACTCTGCCTGCCGGAGCTCTGTCTCTGCTGTCTACCGGGCTTTTTAATCCAGATCTGAATATTTGCCAGCAGTGCCTAATTGCCAGTTTTTCATCTCTGAATCTCTGATTTTAAAGCATAAAAAAAATCGTCACTTTTGTAATTCACCATAAGGTTCTCCAGGGATCATGAGATGTTGTTAAGTGCTCCTCCTCTTTATTTGCAAAACAGATATCCATCAAATAAATGTGTTGTTCACTGGGTTTGTTCATAATTTATTTTGAGCTCGCTACAGTAGTATCACTGTCAACTTTTTTACACGCACAAAAAGGAAACGTTTAACAAAGGTAAAGATGATTACAGAAAGGATGGGAGATTAAACAGGTCTCTTTCACAGGGGCTTAAATGCTCCGATAATATTTCTGTAAAGGTTAAAATCTCTTAATCAATTCTCTTTGGCCCTCCCAGGAACATACCTTTTTCTATTAATTTCCTGCAGATATTTGTACATGATTGTGTTTTCTTTATATAAATATTGGCAGAAATAGAATATCAAAGCCCCTGAATGATGAGAAATACCCCCTCAATGCATACCAGGCATTGAGGATCAAATGTCTGCAACTTCATCCAAGCAGCTGGAAGACACAGCCCCACAGGACTTACTTGAGCAATTACAACCCATCAGCGACACTCCAGAATCTCTACAAAAGAAACGATGAAAACTGCCTACAACTTTGTGCTTTCTAAATGGGAGATAATTCTCTAGCTAGCAACGTTGCTCGAGGATCCTGGAGAGCGGATGTGTCTGGACATCATAATCCACCAGCACAAGGTCCACAAGTGAACGAGGGGAGGTCGATAGGATCCACGGTGGATGACGAATGGAATGTAACACAAAGCCTACTAGATCATTCCTGTGTGAAGCCTTCATCACCACGTGCTTTCCCAGGGTATTATGCATGTACTTCACACACACACATACACAACATAATTACATGGAAGCACTTGACAGTAATTAGAAAGGAACGTGTCCGCACACAGACTTTGGGAACTCCCTCCTCTTCCCAATGGAGGGAACGTGATCCCTCTGCTCCTTCCAGCAGCAGCCATGAGATCTGGCGAACGCTCTTGCGCGCTCCCGCAGGGCTACGCCGGGGCGCTCAGATCACCAGCTTCTCAACACTCAGAGTACTCGCTTCATCCTCCTCATTGGAGCCAAAATACCCGGGGAGGTCGATCATTCGCTGCTCTGCCTCGCTTAGGCCGAAAGTAGTGTTATCATAAAAGGCAAAGTCAGAGTCCAGCGGGAAGCTCTGGCACTTGTCCTTTCGGAGCAGCACGGGGCTGGCGGCTCGGCCTCTCTGGTGGGTGTCCCTGGAAGTTGGAGGCACCGGCTCCCTGCGCCACGCGCCTCGGGGGTTAGGGGAAGGGCCCCTCTTATTTCGGCTGGGCTCGGCTTTATCTGCTGCTCTCTCCTGACCGCCAGGCTGGCGCTCGGCGGCCACATCCAGCCTCTTCCCCGAGGGACACGTCTTCTGATGGCACCTGGTGCCGTGGCCCTGCGGCTCGCACGGCAGCGCGGGGCAATGGGACTGATCCGGCTTTTCACCAGCTGGATTCGCGTTTCTCAGCTTGGGCCTCATCCTGTCTTCCAAAGCCTGGTCCCACGTTCTGGTCCGGGAGCTATAGAGAGGAGTCTGTCGAGGCGTGAGGGTGGACATGCTTCTCTCCCTGAAAGGCCTGGCCTTTTTAGTCTCGTGGAAACTGGCCGTTCTTCTAAAATGTGGGTTTCTGTGACAGCCCCTCTCTGATGACTCCCCTCTGTTATCCTGGTGCTTGAAATGAGCTCTTCTTATCAAGGTCTGGGTAGGGCTCATGGCAGGATTGGCCTGTGAGAATGGAAAATCCAGCCTTGGGTTAGAGCTTTCCCCTGGGAATTTGGGCTGACCGGCTGCTGGGTCCAGAAATGGAGATTTGATCCTGAATTTGTTTGCTGCTGCCTCCTCTTGGTTTTCTGTGCTCAAGGGAAGCATCGTGGTGGCACCAAGGACCGTGTCTGTGAGGGGATTCTGGGAGACGTGGTACACCTTGGTGGTCTCCGTCAGGCCTTTCTTCTTCATCTCTTTCAGCTGCTGCTGTGCGAGGCGATAGCTGAAAATGGGAGGGATAATTTTTTGGGCATTCACCTGAAAATTCTCACTTCCGGAGGCATCGTCTTCCTGGGCAAGCTGGAGGCTTCGCCTGTAGGTCAGAGGGATGCTCACAGGGGCATCGGCCCCTTCGGTGAAGCTGTCCCGCTGCTGGTTGCCTTGGCAGATGTTCTCCTCGTCCGAGTTCTTCCGGCCGCCGGGGGAATGGACGGAGCTTCGGCGCGCGGCCGCGCTGCACTTGGGAGCTCTGCAGAGCTTCCTCCACAGCGTGATGAGAACCGTGGCAAAGATGATGAACAAGCACAGGGAGATACCCGTGATGGTGACTATATTGTTGGCTTTCTGGTCCTCTCCTGGCTCGACAGAAGGTGGGGTGGGAGCCTTGATAGCTGTAACAAAGAGCAGACATGTTTGGCATTAAAATCGCCCCCTCATCAGCTCTTCAGTGTCTTCTGAAAGCCACTTTATTACTAAGAAAACTAACTAATTAATAGAGTTGTCTGCCATGAAGATTTTCTCACTGGGATTACATCTGTCACAGAAAGACTCATCACTTTGGATTGGCAGAAGCAGATCTATCTGCTTTAAATCAAGGGTCCCATAGACCTTTTAAATCTAATTATTACTTTTGGTTGTTCTGCCTGCTCCATAAGGCACCCCTAAATTAAAAAATACTTAAAGTTACTCTTTAAGTATTTTATAATGGCTTAAGACACTGTGAGAGTCACATCCAGAGTGAGCTCTGGATTTTGGGAAGTGCTCAGGGCATTGGGCTGGCCTGAGTGGGGAATGGACACGCTGATCCCAGGGGAGAAACCAGGGCCAGCACTGGCCCAGTTCTGCACAACTGGAGCACAGCAGCTCTTTCACTGCTCGTCCTCCCCTTGGTCCTGCTTGCCCACAGGTCTTTATTTCCTAAAGAGTCCCTTTCCCATCTGTAGGGCACATTGTGTTGCACGATCAGGAGCACAAGATAACCAGCTAGGATGCAGCATGGCTCAAAACAGGACTTAGTTTTGCTTCTCTCCTCACCCCATCTGCCCCATGGCTGTGCACTGGTTTCAGTTACTCAGCCATTTGCCCATCTTCTGCAGCAGGAACTGCACACGTAACTGGGCCAAAAACGGGCTGTTTGGGACAGTCTGCTGGGAGAGGGGAAGGAAGGCACTCCCAGCCCGAGATCACCCGGCACACGAGCCCTTGGGATCAGCGTGAGCTCCCTGCTCGGCCAAGCTAACACTGAAGCAATGGCACGTGTGTAACACATAGCGGAGGCAGCCTGGCCAGGCAGCAGGAGGGTCAGAAACCGTGAGCAGGAGGGAAGCGAGGCAATTTCCCCAGCTGATGCTACAGCAATGGGTGCAAACACGGGCTCTGTACATCCCAGCTTGGCACATAAACCCTCTTTTTTAATTATTTTTTACCCAAAGTCCTTGATGGAGTTTGAGGACTGTCCAGATGCAGTCAGTGCTGTCACACAGGCTGCCCAGGCAGACTGCAGAGCACGTGAACCTGCACAATCCTGCTGCTGTTCCCAGGAAGCACCACAGCTCTGGGAAGCACCTATATCTTAAATCTGCTGTCCCCCTACACAGCAGCAGTGACGCTTCCAGGAGGCGCTGGGGATGCTGGTCACTTGTGTGGGTGCAAGGTGCAAACACAGACCATGCATCTCGCACACGGAGAGCTGGCCTCGTGCTTCCCAAAGCAGGCCTCAGGGCACAGCAGCCCTTGGCACTGCGATTGCTCTCAGAGCTCCAGGGAAGTATGGCAAAACTGGCCAAAAAGGAGCCAAGGCAAATCATACAGTTGTGTGTTTATGGATATATCCCTACAGCAGGTAACTAGACAGCACAGAAAGGCACAGCTGGATATTGGCTTTAGAAAAACAACCACACCACTGACTTTCTCTGCTGTCAGCACACAGACCCTCCTCAGCCTGACAGAGACTGGCAGAGAGGGCAGGCTGCAGGTCACGAGCTTCAAACGGGGCCCCCACACGTGTGAACTGCTCCTCGCTCCTCTCCTCTTGCGGTTTTAAGAAATAACCAAACCTACATGGCCAGCACTTCCTAGTCATTAAAACATCAGAACTTCTCACAACAAACAAAATATTCCAAGTCTTGACTGAACACTGACCAAAGGCTAAGCCTGGCTCCATGGAGTGTCGTTTTCAGTGCTTACCCTTGGCCTTGGTTCAATACCTGCCCACTTCTTGCTGTGCCTCCTGGCCTGCCCATACTCTTACGTCTTGAAGCTGGTTTAAGCCAACACCTCCATCAGAAGAGGCATTTGGAACAGGCTGCCCAGGGAGGCTGTGGAGTCTCCTGCTCTGGAGATCTTCCAAACCCGCCTGGCTGCCGCCCTGTGCCCCGTGCTCTGGGTGTCCCTGCTGGAGCAGGGGGTTGGACTGGATGATCTCTAGAGGTCCCTTCCTTGTGCAGCCATTCTGTGATTCTGTGAAGGGCAGCCCTGCTCTGTTCCTGCTTCAGCTACACATTCCCCTGCTCTGTTGTCCTTCCTTTCCAAAGGCACAAGCACTGTCATGGCCATGCAATAAGCCATTTCCCCAAATCCCTCAAATATTCTTATTTTCAGGTGGGTCACTATCGCACTTCCCAGGCGTAACGGAGTCCCGCGGCACTTCCCACCAGGCAGGACCTGAGCAGAGAGTCTCGCCAGCGCGGGGAGCTCAGCGCTGATCAGCCCCATCAAAGCAGAGACAACCTGAACGTCAGTTAGGAAGCACATGGGGAACTAGGAAGCATGGCCAAGCAGGCTAACCTGGCAGTACAACAGGGTACCACACAGGTGCCGTAGATTCCCAGCACCACTGAAACCATTTCCATGGCACCTAGATAATGCGGAAAGTCTCTCATTAAACCTTCAAGCCCCATCTTTAGCTCTCCCATAAACCATGAAGGCTCCAGCCCTACCCCATCAACCACAGCAATGTGATCCCCCCCATAAAATCAGCATGACTGAGGAGATCGGACGATTCACCTCTACACAGCGACTCTAATAACTTGCCTTTTGCTTTCACAGAATCACAGAGTGGCTGAGGTTGGAAGGGACGTCTAGAGATCATCTAGTCCAACTCCCTGCTCCAGCAGGGACACCCAGAGCACGGGGCACAGGGCGGCATCCAGGCGGGTTTGGGAGATCTCCAGAGCAGGAGACTCCACAGCCTCCCTGGGCAGCCTGTTCCAGGGCTCTGGCACCCTCACAGGGAAGAAGTTCCTCCTCAAATGGAGATGGAACTGCCTGTGTTGCAACTTACACCCATTACTCCTTGTCCTGTCACTGGCCACCACCAAGAAGAGTTTGGCGCCTTCCTCCCTACATTCTCCCCTTAGATATTTGTACATACTGATCAGATCCCCTCTCAACTTGCTCTTCTCCAGGCTAAACAGGCCCAACTCAGTCTCTCCTCACACGAGAGATGCTCCAGTCCCTTAATCATCCTGGTTGCTCTCCGCTGGACTCTCTCTAGAAGCTCCACGTCCCTCTCCCCTGGAAGGACCGCGACCGCCGCAAAGGGGAAGCGGAGCTACGTACGGGAGCAGCGCTCGAGCGAGCACGGGGACGTCTCCGTCGGCGGCCCGGCGCAGCGCGCTCCGCCCGCCGGCGACGCGGGGCACTCTCGGAAGCGCTCGCGGACGCCGTCGCCGCAGGTCACGCTGCACGCGCTCCACGGCTGCCACGGGCTCCACGGCTCTGCACACACACAAGCAATGAGCAACACCGCCCGCTTTGCTGCCTCCGGAGAGAAAAGCACTCAACGGTGGTCACTTATTTAAGAAAAACAGCAAGAAATAGCCAGACAAACTGCAATATCAAACAACAAGCAACGTGCAGGGACATGCTCCGGTACCCATCGGAGTTGGGGGCAAAGCTCTCCCGGTTCTTCCTCTCCTCGCTCCGGCGCCAGCCACGCGGCACTGCTCCGCTAACCAAGCCTGGCAGGATCCGCCTCGAGCAAATGGAAATTAACCCACAGATCTGCTCAACAGCTCAGTAATTTATATATTCATAGGCTCCAATTCCTACCTGACAAATACTGGTTTTACACCGGGATAACCTCGTTGACTTAAGTGGAGTTATTCCTGATTTATATGGGCATGAAAGGAGGATAAGCCTACAAGGCCTAATGAAAAGGCAATATTGTTTTTCCTCTTATTATCTTCTTAGCACATGAATGTGTTATTGAACCATTTATTTGACAGCTTACAGGTCCCTCTTGTTTTATGGTTTATGGTTAGGCAATTAACTCAAGATGAAATTTTGAGGGTTTATTTATTTATTTAAAAAGGAGGCAGGCTCAGGTTTTAATGTTCATTCAAATATTATCATTCTTTAAAGTAATGAGATCCATTTTTCGCTTAGATAACATCCTCCTCCAGTGTTCAACACTCAAACTTCACAGCAGTGAGAAGCCACAGACAAAAAGGGACTGTTTCTGGCAAGAGTTGAAAGCTGCAACACTGAAGCAGGACTATTACTTTAAATTCCAAAACAAAGTCTAGGGACAATTTTTAGAGAGACAGAGCCATGCGGAACAGATATCCTGGGAACTCTCCTATGGGTCAGTTGACTTCAATGGTCTGGCTTTGAAAAGTATCAGAAATAAAACCCAGGTCTATGCCCAATTATTCCATTTAACCGCTTGCAGATAAAACAGAAAATCAGATAAATCATACAAAGTAAATTAGGTTTGTTAAAGCCTGCTCTTTTTTAACAGTTTATGATGCTGCTCCTGCCAACGCAGGTCACGATATTTGACTTTATTACTTGCTCGTTTTGCTGCCAGCACAGCACAGAGTGCCTGCTCAGGGAGCAATTTACAGTGCTAAAGCATGAGGGAGTGTTTCATGCCTGGCAATGGCTTTATGATTTCATTCTGTATCGGTTGCTGTGTTGCTCATCATTTTTAAGGTCTCTATCAAAAACAAATGCAGCTGTGTTTTAATAAATACGAAATTTTAACTGCCTTGGGCCCTATCCTACAAATTTTTGCTGGCTTGCCAGTAAGCAGAATGTTCCTATATGAACACAGTGCCACAGGACCAGTGGGGCTGCCCCTGCGTGTGAAGTTACCCACGTGGATGGACATGGACGTGGTTCCTGGCCACTGCCAGGTCACTTCAGCCACTGAGCAGTTATCAGTGAGGGCAGCAAGAGAAGCAACCAGAAGAGCAGCCCTTCAAGGGCCCGCTGATCCCCTTTCTAAAATACTCCATGGCATCACAATATTTGGGAGTATCAAGACACTCTTTTTGCTCTCAGCATCATGGAAGAGTCCAGCAGTGTCATCCACCACCAGCACAGAGTCCCCTGGCAGTGGGAGACGGGGAAGCACAGGGCTCCATGTAGATTAATTCACTGTGAGCAGCTGGGTCATTTAGTCCCTGTCCTAACTTCCAGTGCGTGCGCTAGTTCATTCATGCATCCCTACATTCCCCATGGGTTTTAGCTCTGGTTAATTAGAGTCAGCCATAGGGCCAGATGCAGCAAGGTGCCGAGCGCCTCCGGTGCTGCCCACTTTGCTGAGAGCGGAGGGTTCTCAGCGTTCCTGCCTGTGGGCTCCAACGTAAACCAACATTTAGGATGAGTAATTTTCTAATCCTGACGTCAGACCTACCATAGCTCTTAGGCGCTTCTCACCGACCTCGGCTTCACCTGAGGGCAGTTCCTTACCAAAAACACTTGGCATCTGTAGCTTTGGGGCTAAGACTGAGAGACTTAAATGTGAGGGGAGAAGGAAATTCTCCAGCTCCTGAGAAAGATGGAGATTTAAGCTCCTGCAGCTTGTTCTGCAACCTCTTGCAATTACCAAAGCGTAGAAGAAAATAAAACCCAGTTTATTCTCCCCCAAGGAAACAAAATAATTAACCTCCATTTAAGACGAACAGATCCAAAGTGCCAGGGGAGAAAACAGAAGGCACATACCACAAACTAGCTCTATTAAGTGTGAAAGTGTTCATGTACAATTAAGGAATCTATTACCAACACGAAGACACCTATCTGAGGAGTTAGCGTGAAACGGCCAACAGTTCTGCCCATGTGAAGGATAAAGGCAATTAACTGTGTTAATTGTCACTCTGCGGGCTCCTCCCTGCGTTCCCCTTGCTGGCCTGGTGAGAACTGGAGCATGTGGAGCCACCTCTGGCACAGCAGCAAGGGGTGCTCAACCTCCCTGCGACAGCCCTGAGCATTTCCACAAGACCCACGCGTCGGGGACAGGAGCACTAAGGAATTTCAGGCTACTCCTAATGCAGCCTGGAGGGCTGCCAGCTACTTGTGGCACTTGGGATCGTGTCCTAGGCGCTGGGACTGGCCGCACCTGCGTCCCATTGGCACAGGGGGGACCTGGGAATACATCCCTCTTGCTCATCCTGTTTTCTCCTATTTCCACAGAAATGAAGCCTGGGAGCACTGAAGGGGTGACATGCACCAACAGGTTATTGCTTTGGAGAGTGAAAGGACTAGGATCCCTTCCAAAGAAGAAAACCCGGGCTCTGCCCGGGCAACTCACAGCCTTTTCTCCACAAATGGGCACCTTTAAGACATGCAGGGGCACAGTCTACAAATCCTTTTAGAAGCTGAAACAAGTCCCAGTGAGTCCATAACACCAGATATACCTTTAAAATGCTGAAGATGTAGAGATTAGGAACTCAGTGCTCTAAGTGAAGCAGAACTGGGCTACAAGAGAGGGCTGTAGATGCAGCCTCTTCGCATCAGCCTGTTTTTCAAAGAAATGCAAGCAGATATGGATTCAGGCACTAGGACTAACTGGTCTCCAGATTTTCCTACAGATAATAAGCAGGTCTAATTCATATGACGTTATTCAGGGAGCAAGAATTTGATGGGAGCAAAAATTTGATGGGAGTTTAGATTCCTGCCTTTGCTCTGCATGCTCTACTTAGTCCTTCCCCTGCTGACTACTACTTTCCTCAGAAGGGCTTTTTCCTACTTTCTTCCTCCTCTCCCTTCCTTTTGTCCTGTTGCTCTGCCCTATGGCTCCTTTTTGACACCTAGAAAAGTCATAGAGAGGAGGTGACTGAGTCCTGCTGTAAGCCAGTGCAAGAGACTTCACTGGAAGTTACAGTAAGGTCAAAATTAGTCTCTAGACCAGAACTAAGAACTATAAAAGAAAGCTAATTAACTCTAGAAATAACAGAAAAAAAAATGCTCATTTATATGTCATACTCCTACCAATTAATTTCACTGGATTTATCCCAACTGTTTCCCACAGGACACTGGCTAGAGGTGGAGCATCCTCCTAAGGAAAGCAGAAGTCCCACTGGTGGGGACATTCAAATCTCAACTGAAGGAAGCACAGAGCTTCCAAAGACAGAGCTTCCAGCAGTCCTGGATAAAATGATCTAACTGAGTTTTTTTTTTATCTCAGACATTCAAATAATCCAAACAGAGAGAAAAAAAATAGCTGTATGATTCTCTCTAAATCATCTGCATGAAACTGCTAACACCCCACTGAGATCAATGAAGTGACTCACATCTCTGTTATTTTTTCACGGGTTCTCCAGCTGGAGTCTGCAGAAAGCTGCACAAGGGTTGGCTCACATTTAATAGATATATTCCCCACATTTAACAGATATATTCACAGTCTTAAAAAGCAGAGGCTTTTTTACACCACTTGTTTTGAAGCTGATAGCCCCTGCTGGAAGAGCTGGTGTTCTACCTTGTTCAGGGTTATCAGGAGCCTTCTGCTTCCTAGTCAAGGCACAAAAAGGGGACTCTTTTTCCACAGGCTGTACTAAACCTGTCAGGAATAAAGAATAAAAAGTAGGATTGATAAAGGGTCATAAATATCAGTGTTGAAAAATGGCTGTTGTAACACAAACTTTATCTGCAGTTCAGATGAAGATAATCTTAATGATTTAGGGATGTTAATCTTTTACAAGGCAGCATCATCGTATCGGAATAATAAAGCATATGCTAAATGGAGTAAGAACTGGCTGAGTTGCAGATTTGGACTGTAATTGTCAAGAGAAAATCATCACCGAGTGGGAATGCATTTGGAGAGATTCCAGGAGGATCAGTGCTAGGCTTAATGCTATATAATGTTTCCCACAGTGACAAGAAAGTAAATACAAGATTGTAAGGGTGAAAATATGCCACTACTGTGGTGAGGTAAGGAGACAGTGTCATTGCATGGAGCAATTACTTGGCAAATGGAGACAAAGCAAAGTAGACTTTAAACCATCAAATGCAAAATTAAAGAGGGGGAATAGAAATTATACCTGCAGACTGGTAGACTGAGCACTCAAAGGTCAGATGTAAAAGCAGCTCCAGAGGAGTTCACAGGGTAAAAAAAGCTCTTGTGAAATGAACTAAAGCAACCTGTGCAAATACGAGCAGCGGGGCCGTAAGGAGGGTGCTGCGGCTCAGACAGCGCTGCTGAGAGGGACATCAGAGCACTGCAGCCAAGGCAGGTGTCCAGGCTGTCAACACAGGATTGCTGAAAGGGGAAAGGGAGCAGAAGAGAGCCAGAAAGCTAACTGGATGCTAAAAAAAATGCTTCCCAGTTAAAGACTAAGCCTTTTTGGTTTATTAAAAGCACCAGGATCATCTGGTAGGACTGGTACAGTTTGGACAAACATGTGCCTTCACATGGGCAAGACAAGGGGTATGAAAAGCCCTCTCATCTAGCAGAGACCAGTAGGGTAAGAGTCAGTCACTAAAGAATGAAACTAGATGGTTTGTTGTTGTTGTTATAAATAGTGCAAAATTTCCTTTTCTTTATCAGAGGATGTGGAGCGAAACTACCAGAAGGCTCTCAATTTCACGGGGTCTTCAGGGAGAGACGGGTATCTGCCTGGACGATGAGCTGCAGCTGAAGGCAGCGACTATGTGTGGGGCTGAGCTGATGAGCGGGTGCACAGTGTGGGTCCCCGCTGCACGGGGCCCACACTACATGACACCCACCCCTCTCCTGCCCTCAATCTGAGCGGCTCCAGGACGACCAAGGCAGCAAATCCCTGATTTAGGGGGAGATGCTTTCGCGCAGCAGCAGCACGTGCTACACGAACAGCCATGGGTCTGTGAGCACAGCCCCAAAGGGAGCACCAGGCACCTCTCCCAGCGCGTCCTCCTTCCAAACGCTGCCGCGGGCCTTTGAAGGCTGGCGCACACAGCCAAGCGCGCCGCAGCCTAATTAATTTCAGGCTGACATTTTATTTACAGTTCTGCTGTGTGGTTTTGCTTTCATCGGCTTTGTAGACTTGACACTTCCAGCTTGTCAGCTATTGACTTCAAGCCATTCTTCACCCATGTAGCCTGAGCTTTCTTTCAGCTGCAGTTGTAAATTTGGTGCTACCACGGAAGCCAATGGAACAAAGCAAACTGCAGGGAGTCATTGCTCAAGGTGGATCTTATCAATTAAAACAGCCAAGTTCTGGGTACAGAAACATACCTATGTCATATCCTAGGCATTCATCTGTCAGGATAATTAGTGAGATTGTATCGAGGTAACATATATCTGCCACCCAGGCACAAAGACAGGATTTGAATTTTCTCTTCCTCTCTGCTTCAGGAAAAATTATCTTGATTAAGAAAATAATATGTTTTCATTTTTTAAATGGGCTTGCTTGTGCCAAAGAAAGAGAGAGGGTGCCAGTAGAGAATACAGACAGAAAGTTAAGCTAAATAAATGAACTAGATACTGAGTTTGGCATGTGGCAAAAATAGAGGTCATTTTTAGTCTAGAATGTCAATTAAAGATGTAACAGTTTCAAGATTCCTGCAGCAGTACAAAGCAAAACCAGAGGGCACTAGAAATGTAATTAATGTAGGCCGTGTCTTGATTGTGCCCGATGGAGCATATCCGATACTCCTGGTCTCCTGACTGCCCCCCTAGAGACCTACCCAGAAAGTGCAAGGACCCCTTTTTGGTGTCGTGTGGGGAAGTCTAACACGTTAGGATGAGTACGATCCTGGCACAGAGCTCGGGAGTGTTGGGCTTTCCATTCGGGAGTGTGGCGGCACACGGTCACTGCTCCCAGGCCCTCACGCGCCCTGCCGGGCCCTCCACGCCTCCCGGCCTAGCACAGCCCCGGGGAGAGGAGCAGGGATGGATCCCGCCTCCTCCTCTGTGCTGCTGTGGCCAGCGGCTTCTGCTCCTCCTTGAAATGCCATCCCAGAGACTCTGAGGCCGCACTACAAGATGTAAAGATATAAATAGAAGGTATATACTCCTTATACAGGGCCAAGCAACGGGCTCAGGCTCTGTCTTGTGATCACTCCTGCTGCTTAACTGTGATCATTCAGACCCCTGGACACAGGGACTCTGCCAAACCACCCTCTCCCAGAGCACGCCTGGTCCCAAAGGACCATATGGGCCACAGGCTGTCTGTGGTTGGCAAGACACATGAATCACACAGAATCACGGAACGGATGAGGTTTGAAGGGACTTCTGAAGAACATCTAGTCCAATGTCCAACCCTCTGCTTAATCAGGGCCACCTAAAGTGTGTTGCCCAGGACTGTATTCAGATGGCTTTTGAACATGTCTATGGATGGAGACACCACAACCTCTCCGGGCAACCTGTTTCTCTGTCATCTTCACTTTAAAGAAGTTTTCCCTTATGCTCAGATAGAGCTTCCTGTGTTTCCATTTAGGTCCACTGTCTCTCATCTTCCCACTGGAGAGTCTGGCCCCTTCCTCTTTATACTCCCCTTCAGGTATCTATAGACATTGCTAAGATCCCCCCTCAGTCTTCTCCAGGCAGAACAGTCTCATTTCTCTTGACCTTTCCTCATAAAGAAGATGCTCTAGTCCCTTAATCATGTTGTAGCCTCTGCTGAACATGCTCCACTAAGTAAGAAACTCATGACCTGGCAGTTGGCCTCACGGGTCAGAAAATGAACTGTGGCCTGTTTTTAACAGTAGTAGAGACACGGTCTGAAACGCTGATGACAGTAAAAAAAATAAGCTAAGTGACAAGAGACTGGCTTTTCACTATGTCCAAAACCTCATTAATCTAATAAAAAATATAGCTCTAACAGGTAGACATCTGAAGTCCTACAATAAACAACGAGGGAAAAGACACCTAGATGAGGATTCAGCTCACCTGGTGAATACACCTATCTTAGGGTGGGATGAATTATCCCTCTGAGATGCCTTTTTCTTATGACTAAAAAAATAACTACTAGAGGTTAAAAACATGGCTTTTGGATGCTGAAATGTAGATAAAATTAATCCTACCCTAGTGTTTCCAAAAGGCCAGATCTACTGTAGTAGTTTCTCATGGCACTAGGGGGGTAAAGTTTCAGCTTGACTGGGAATATATATATATGTGTGTGTATATATAAATATAATTATATATATATATATATTAAAAATTCAAAATGCCCCAAACAGTTCTGGCTGGTACTTTGTGTTAACTCAGTGTAATTTTAAACTATCATAGTTCACTACCTTATGTATCCCTCTACTTAACGGTCTACTCCATTTTATTGCCATCAAGGCATTGCTGTTTTTTTGTCTGGTACAGGAGACCCCCAAAAACAGCTACTGATTAGAAGACATCATAATCAAATTCATTTATCTTTACCCATATTGGTTCAGAAGGGTGCTGATTTCTACTAGAAGAAGACAAACATCAGTACAAACCCATATTCCTTTGGATCATCATACACTCCTTAACTCTGGTTGAGAAATGGCTTCGGTTTGAGAAACTAAAGAGGTCAAAGCAGTATTTGTTCTTCCCCACATCAAACAAAGTGCAGTTAAATTCTGTCCTGTTGTCTCCTGGGTGAATAGTGTTTTCATACAGCCAAGTTGTTCTTTGGCTAGGATGCTTGAGAGCCTCTTTATAGACAGCAATCTTTCCACTGGTAGAAGTGCATGGTGGGGAGACCACAAAGACCTGAACCAAAGTTTTGCATGTTGCTTCTGGTGCCACCACAAGTTTGTATCCAAATTTGTGCAGGAGGTCTATGGGTCCCATGGAGGCAATGACTGAATGTGTTTCTAGTGATCTCAGCAACACAGTGATATACATTTCTTGACCAACAGGTGGACAATCAAACTCTACCCACTGGGATCTAGACAGCAAAATTCCTTTTCTAGTTCTAATGCCCAGTGTCTCATCAGAGCTTAATTTTCCTAGTTCATAAAGAGTGCTGCTGAAAATCACATCCAGTGAAACTACCATTTCATTCAGGGCACACAACTGTTCATTTGTGAAAAGTCCAACCTGAAGGGAGCTTCCAAGCACCTCTGAGGTCTTATTCAAATCAATGTGAAATACAGGCCACTGCACATGGAGGGTGGACATTCTTCTTTCATTCCAGGGTACGTCACCACTATTATCATTTGGAGAGACCATTCTGAACCAAAAGTCCCCAGCGCTCTTGAAGTAGAAACACTCAAACTCTACCATCCCATGTGACTGATTTGCTGGAAGTTCTTTTCTTGCAATGATCTGGTTGCTACTGGCATCGAGCAATAGGATGGATATATTCTCTGCTGTCACATTACCACCATCATAGTACCGATACTCCACAGAGACCGTGTCATTGCTGAAGGCTACATGATCTGGACGCTCCAAGAGGAGGTATTCCACTTCACCGAGAACTGAAAGAAAACAGTTCACAACAGTACTGAAAAACAGAGAGACAACTGGTTGTTTATGGAATTTATGGAAGAAAATAAAGTTTTATAAATTGCATATTTAAGAAATGGTTCTCAAACTTTTTAATATGAGTTAGTTCACCTAGACAGGCCTTAGCTATACCAATTAAAGTTTACCATGTCTTGCTTTCGAAAGGATCCTGTTTAGCACGGCTGGAAGTCCACTGTGGTAATAACATGTACAGGAGGGGAAAAAAAATCCACATAAAAATTAATTTCTGTGAATAAGCCAGGAGAATTCTCAACATCTTTCACTCAACAGATTCTTAAAGTCCACTTACCAGTGGCCAGCCGTTGTTCCACTTACTTGAGCTGTAGCTGTAATTCAACAAAAAGGATTGTAGCTTCTTAATGCAGAAACATGAAAAATGTCCCTCAAATTAAATAAAAAGGAAGCCTGCATGATATTTTTTGAAGCCTCTTCTCTTGCTCTGTCTTATGAATCTTTCATTTTGCTCATTTGCATCACAGAGACACTTGAGTGAAAGAGCCGAAAATAACAGTGATGGTGACTGCAGCACTTTTCTTGTCTTAGATGTGGTGCAACATGTCTAAATGACATCATTTCATTATAAATGGGACAGTCTTTTAAAATTCATTTCTGGCATGTCCGTGTTTGTGCAAGTTGCCAAATTACCCTGAGACATGCTGTAACTAGTGGGGATAGATGGTATCTAAAGCACTGGATTGGGAAGATCACATTTCGGTTCTTAGCTCGGCTGGTTTTCCTGCATAACTTGGAACTTAAGGATTTCAGATATAGAAAGTTTATCAGAAAAAAAAATGGGAATAACATTCATCTATTCCAGATATGAGATGTCCAAATATGAAAAGATATGAGACATCTTTACTTGATTAATTATCTGGGTAGAGGCTTCTGAGTCTTCAATGAAAAATGCTACAGAAGTGTAAAACCTCAGTTGAAGTCATCTTTTCATAAGCAGCATCAACTAATAGTACTCTAGTACTTAGACTTGTTAAATCTGCTACACAGACTTTAGATTGCCAAGACAAGCACTGGGCAGTCAGGAGTAGTAGGACTTATCACACATGATATTAGACACCTATCACTGTAAGCTCCTAGTCACCTTGGATTCATTCCTTGCCAGTAAGGAGCATTTTCAGGAAGCAATTCATCTCCCCAGCTGTGGGCAGTTACACCAGTGTGAGGAGCAGTGCATACTGGAAGAGCCTATTGCTCCTCATCAACTACAAGTGCCTAAGGTAACGCGCTCTAACCACATCCACATGCCTGGATGATGAACAGCCTTCCAGGTAGGAATCACACAGAGAATCACAGATTGGTTGAAGTTGGAAGGGACCTCTAGAGATCATTTAGTCCAACCTCCTTCCTCAAGCAAGGACACCTAAAGCATATACCTCATATACTTGCATTAGAACTCAGTCTTTAATTTGCATGGCTTAGTACTATTTATTCCAAATGATTCTACTTCCTTTGGCAGATGGATGGTGCTTGCTATCAGTGCGCTCTTTGATTCTCCTTTTTTGATGGGTGGTCCCATGTTCTATTGACTGCACACCATCCAAGATCCATTTTGACCACAAAAAAAAATCCTATGGGGTTTTCTATTAAGCTCTTATCATACTACATGACTAGTGCATGAGAAATACTAACAACAAGTTTATCCTTGCAAAGATCCTGAAAGATGAGGGGATGATGCTATTCTTGCTTATTGCGTTAGGAACTAAAGCACAGACATAAGTGTGAACACTGTCAAGTCTCCACTAATTCTGGATGTCCTGTTTAAGACACCTAAAGCCTGTTTTTCAAATGCAACAATCTTGTGGACATCCCAAGCTGGATCCTATTGATTCCAGCTGCAGTGAGCACATGGCTTCTCAGAAACCTGATCTCAACCTGGACACACACACAGCAAGAAAGAAACCCTGAATATCTGTGAAATACTGTGAAATGCTGCTTTTAATTCCATCAAGTTCCTGCACACTTCTACCATTCCAGTGAGGAAAACAAAAAGTACAGAGCAAACAGTGTTAGTGCCTGATATTATGATGAGGGAACTGTGCTTTGCTGGGCTGGAGCACACACAGGACTGCAGAGGGTTGGCAAGAGGATCCACGGGAGCCGGGGCACGCTCAGCCCTTCGGAGAACTTAGTCACAGACACAGCTACCTGGTCTTGGAACTGGAACAAGTTCGGGCAAATCTTTATAAGGACAGCAAAAGGCAACTGCCAGACCAGTTGGATAAACTCCCTCACAAATATATAGGTTTCTGTAAGCATGACTGAGTTCCCCAGTTGCACATTTTCTTTTGCTTTTGTTGTTGTTATTTCTTTAAATACAGACAAAGTGCTGTAAATTTCTACAGAGGAACTGGCCAGATCCAGCTTACCTGAAATAATAATAGGGGAGAAAAAGAGGAAGGGGAAGGGGAAGGGGAAGAAAAAGGAAAAAGGAAAAAGGAAAAAGGAAAAAGGGGAAAGGGGAAAGGGGAAAGGGAAAAGGGAAAAGGGAAAAGGGAAAAGGGAAAAGGGAAAAGGGAAAAGGGAAAGGGAAAGGAAAAAATGCCAAAAGCCTGGCATGGGCAACTTCAACATCAAGGTTTAATTTCTTTTTCTTTTTTTTTTTTTTTTCAAAACCACTCAAATAATAGTAACCAAAAGCCCTGATGCCCACACCTGAAGCATTACAGAATACTAATGCTGTACTTACTCTCACAGTTTTTCTCTGCCACGCAGCTCTCGTCAACTCTACTGCAAATCACTTGGGAAAGGAGAACCCTGAGAGCTACCAGAGGATGTTCTCAGAGCACAGCAGTGCTCTGCTTCACACAGCCCCACTTCACAGCAGCCCTTCTCCCATCTTTGTCTAATAACACAAGAACTTTGCACTCACACGAGGCTCCTATGGTGCTCTGCAATGCTCTGAAAGCCACTACTCAAAAGAAGCCAGGTTCTGCTCTCTGTTCCTCCCGGAGTCGTTCAGCCTGCTGGGCTGACATGACCACAACGCAAGCCAGAACTCAGTCCCAGTTGTTTGTGCAGCTGATCAGGGGCAGCTTTCAATGCATTTGTGTATTTTTGCTGTCATTACAATGGTCTTCCCCTGAATGGAGTCTTGGCTGGGGCACCAAGAAGCTGCCAGCAGAGTCTCTGCAAAGACCTCGCTCTTAGAGAGATCAAAAGGAAAAACTGGATTTCACTGAGGAGTGAGGGGAATTAATTGAGTGTGTTATTTTAACATCTGTTTATTGATAAGTTGTGTTTAAGCTAACTTAAATTGTGATGTTGGCTTGTGAGCCACCAGTAGCTCAGAGCATCAAAGAACAGACATGCCAGAAACACTGATGAGAAATAAGAATAGTTTTGTTTTTTTTTTTCTTTTTTAAACTTTACAGTAATTTTCCAGGGTGCACTGGTACATTTATAGTGCAGTCTTGACATAAAACAGAGAAATAGATGGGTAATATAGTTTGGAAGTTATACTCTGAATTACAGACTGCTCTTTGGTCAGCAATACTGCAAAATATGATGTACCTACAGTTTTCAATGGAGATCTAGCTTCATTCTAGCATCTTATTCAGAACAAAGTCTTTCACTTCTGACACAACTAGCCATGCATGTCTGCAGGAGTAGCTCACCAAGAACTTGAGGACACTGGAATCATTCACCCGTCCTATGAACTCAGGATGCAACTTCACTGTGTGCACCCCACTATGTGCAGCAGTCCTAACCTGGCTGGTTAACTTTGTTTTACTAAAATAACAAATGGCAATAAGTCAGACAAGTGTCTCCACTTCCTCTGGACTTAATCTAAAAGATTTCAGCTCTGTTCCTTACCCCTTCTAGTGATCCCTTGTTCTAGTGCAGAAACTGAGCGGTTCTGTTCTTTACTCTTAGTGATCCCTTGTGCAGAGACTGAGCAAGCACAGGGCCATGAAGAGCAGAGCATATTTAACATTCATAATTACCTAAAAATTAGATTTTTTTGTTTATCAGCTAGTCATTGTAGGCTTCTTGTATAGTTAATGTTGAGAAATGGGCACTTGTATAGCACAATGCTCCCACCTTAGTGTGGACACCTGAAATGTGCCAGGTGAGTCACACACCAAAAGCACCCATTCCTCTCTGTGATACAGGGATCCAACAAGACTGAGCTCAGCTGCAGCCCTCCACAGAAAAGACATATACACTCGAATGAGATGAAACTTCCCCCTCTCACCTCTATCTGCTGACTTAAGTGATCTCTTAAGTAGGATCCTAAAATGAGAGGCTGTGTGTAACCACTAAAGTGCCCCCACTTGCAGGGCAGGGAGGTGATAACTCATGTCTACCCTGCTGTATATGAGCATCCTCACATCGACAGGCTCCAGTGCTCCCCAGAATCTCACCCACGGTGCACGTTACATGGCATTTAATGGATGTTATAAAATAAAAGGCGTACAAGAGAGCAGAGCTCCAGTTACCACTTCTAACACAGCCAGTCCCACATTTATCATGTTTATTTCCTTGGGGACATTAACAGCAGGAGAGGTTTCTGCCACTCTGATCCAAAGGTGCCGTTTATGTGAGTCTTATTTTCCACCTACCTTTTGTATAAGATCTAGACTCAATTCTGTGCATATCAGAAATGTCCTCTTTGGCAGTCCTGTTTCTATAGATCATCTGGTAACAGCACCATCCAAAAATACCCTGTGATAAGTATCTCTCAGCATTCCCTTTATAGATCTAATACTCACCATAGTCACAGAGCACTACTAACAATAGATTTGAAAAATCTTTCAACATCTGTTTCATTCTGACCACTGAGATCCCAGGGCCTTTTACTCCTCATGTCCTTCCTGAGCTTCAAAGGGCAGGCACTTCTCAAGAACACCTGAAAGATAAAGAGATAAAACCAAATTGACTTTGCTTCATAAAATACACAAAGGAAGACATCTCCCTGACGAGTAAAATCACTGTGTTAATTAACACTTTTTTTCTCCTATTTACCTCAATTATTAGCATTGTCTGAATAGATCTGATTAAGTGCAACTACAATTCACTGTACAACCAAGTTCTACTCTTAAAATACCAGCTCCTGGGCCAGAATGATAAAGATAGGTCACAATGATTTACCTTCCCACTGCAGTAACTGCTGCTGTGCAAATCTTATGCGAAAATCAAGATGCATCACAGCAAAAAAATCCCCAAGTATTTTATAAAAAATGTGAAAAGTGTGTATTGGTTAAAAGTAAGTCTACCACAAGCGCTCTGACTTCAGCACATGTAGATATTGGAGGTTTACTGCTGCTACACAATTCACAGCACTTACTGTCAACTGATTTCAAGCACGAGAGAGACCCGCTTCAAAAACATACGTCGTTTCAGTTCTCAAACCGTGTTGTTATTCAGGCCTAGCAACATACTTAATGATCTAACTTTATCTATAGTTGTCCTTTATGTCACACAGGCTGATTAAATGGAGAAGGAGCTAACTTAACATTTCCTGCATATATTTTTAAGTTTATATTCTCCACATCCTTTTGGAAAGTTTTTCTTATACTGCATTTCCCTTGGAATTCTTTTTCCTCTAAATGGTGCAGATTAAAAGAATCACAGTTTTATTTCAATGTACTTTAAACAAGCCCTTTATGAGTCTCAAAACAATCATAAGAGGCTGGAAGCACAATGAAAACAGTAAAAGCAACTCAAAAATAGAAGGGAGAATCTAAAAGGAAAAGACCTTGCCCAAAGGAACCATTCTCAACACATAAGAATTGCACTCATTTGTACTGTACAGGAATGTCAGAAAATCACAGCCTTACTGGGCTCAAATGTGCAAGTTCTTGTTCAACAGAGCTGGAAGTCTAATTTTATGAGACAAATTTGGCACTGAAGCAGGCATAGGACAGGCAAAACTCAAAATATTTGAAGCTGGAAGTGACCTCTGCAGAACGTAAACATAAAATATAAGAACCAGTCATGACACAGATTAGGTACATTCGAGGAATCATAAAAGTAATGAGCTACTTCAACAATGAGACTGTTAAACTTGTTGGATTAAAACATAGCAGATCTTTAAAAAAGCTTTTTTGTGTTGTTTTGTCATCCCCTCCTGTGTTCTCAGTGCCAATTTCCTCTCCGTCTTCTCTTATGAACATGATTCAAGAGGCTGGAGAGAGTTTCTAAGAAAGGATGAAGAGTAGCACGAGTGGCTTTGCCAAGGCAAGACCATTGCAGTAAGGGCTGCACAAACTTGCAGGAAATAATAATCACCTCTCCCATGAGCTTGACAAGGCTCCAAAAGGGGAATCAGACAGTGACAGAGACAAGAACACCCATAATTTTCATTTGAAACGGTGTGAATTACAGGCATATGAACCTTATGCCTCAGGATACTGGTAGGCTGTTAAAACAGTAGGTACCAACCGTCCAGTCCCCGGGGTGGTTGCTCCGTAATTGCCAATTCCAAGCAATCCCGAACTCTTCTTTGCAACATATGGTACCAGCTCCTGCTGGGGACAAGACACCCTAACAGGGACTCTGCGCCCTGACAGTCTGCTAATTCATTTCATTAGTCACCATTAATTATTAAACTGGGCATTTTCTGGGGAAAAAAGAAACGAAACCAAAAGAATCAAAGTGATCTAATGAAGAAAAAGCAGGTTTTGTATGAAGAAATGCAAGAGATAGGAGCCACAGCATAACCACTCAAAGAAAATAACAGAGGTTATGTGGCATTTTTAAAAACCACACTGAACTTTAAGAAGAAAAAAATGTTTTATGGGAAACAATCACAAACATGCTAAAAGATCTAACAGATACTCTCCATTTCTAGTTTTCCTGACTATTATATATTTCTCAAATGTTTGCTGCAAATATTTTTTTTAGGCAGTCACACACTGATGGGTAAAATTCAAATAATCTTAATCTCTGTGTAATGAGTCACACGCTGTAAAATGGAAACAAAAACACTGAAGGAAGAGCAAATCTTAGGGAAGAAAGGGAAAGGCTGAGTGGGAGGATACTGCGGAGATAGTTGCCACACATTTTAATTTGTGCGTGTCAGCTTGACAGATGGAAAGCCAACATGGTGCACGAGACAGGGCACGCAGGAGACCTGACTTCTGCTCCCAGTTTTGCCATTGTCACATATATAATGCTGGCAAATTGCATCATTAATCCGCTCCTCTCCCTCCCATCCCTCCTACTCCATATTTACAGCGTAAACGCTTCAGGAAAGGGAGTCTTTCCAAGCAAACTCGTGGACAGAGCCCAACACCTTTGGGCCTTTGGGAGCCTCGGTAACACAGATCATTTGTCCTCTCCCTTTGCCTCAGCTCTGTACATACATCACACTGACCTGCAGGCCCTGCTCAGATTCCCCCCTTCTCCTACCGATCTTCCTTCCCAAGCCAATTTCTTCCTGAAATTCTTCTCATCTTAAAAATTCCCTGTGTTTTCACTTCTGCTCTATTATTGCATATACGTTATTCTCCTACTCTGATAAGTGTTGCTTTTCAAGACAGACGGTTTATCCTAACTGGTTTCTACACAGATCTTTTGCATTAAGTTCATTAACTTGACAAGATGAAAAATGATCCAACAGAGGAGGCAGTCGGACTCTGAATAACTGGCTTTTAAATCTATTACTTCAGGGCTCTAGCATGGAGTAAGACCCCGTTGTGCTGCGTGACATGCTGCAGGAGCTGGACATGAAGAGGTGCCTTCTCTTCCAAAACAGGCTAAAAGGGGCCACCTGGAAGGGAGGATTTCCTCTGCAAAGGAACTCGGCAATGGCAGAAGAGGAGGAATGAGCCACAAGGGGCCTGGCAACACGGACCACAAGGCTCACGTGTAATGTCCAGGACACAGCAGAACCTCGTGTCACTGCATCAGCTTTCCAGACTGATCTTGGTCCCACCACAAAGCTTTTCCGTGTTGCAGTTCCCCACTGGAGACACCGCTTCACCATTTCATAGGGTTATTGTGAAGATAAAACCATGCAAACTGTGAGGCGTACAGACACAACGCTGCCACGAACCAGGTAAGTTCCTAAGATGCAGTTTACAATTTCCTCTTTGTTTTTGTTTTTGTAAATAAAGCCGTACAAAGGGGAGCACAATGACTTTCAGAGCCACATGCTCTGAGCCACTCGCTCAAACACTGTCCCTGTTTCTCCACAACCTTGATTCCACAAAGTGTCTTGAGATCGTTCTGGAGGCCCCGCCAGTTTAATAAACAAACAGCAACCCTCCAAACAAACCCCACCCAGAAGCCTACTGGATTTTATGTCTTCCAGCATTTTCTGCAGCGGTACCGGAAGCCCAAAGATCAGATATGATGGCTCACAAGTCAGCAACCTCATCCAAGACCTACACCCTGCCATTTGCTACCACCTTCCAACAGAGCAACAACCTATTTCTGCACTCAGCAGCTCTTCCTGCTTCGTAAGGAGGATGAGGGCCAGGGCAGGGCTGCAGTCAGGGCAAGGCCATGAGGAGTTAATCACAGAATCACAGACTGGTTGAGGTTGGCAGGGACCTCTAGAGATCATCTAGTCCAACCCCCTGCTCCAGCAGGGACACCCAGAGCACAGGGCAGCATCCAGGAGGGTTTGGAAGACCTACTGCTCCAAGATAAAGCACCGGGTTTTATATAAAGCACACCGAACCCAAAGCGCCACGTCCAGGAGAAGGCAAGCAGCCACTTCCACGGATCCCACCATCATCCCAACCCGCTCCCCCTGTTTCGGGGCAGGGAAGAGGCTGGTGCTGTGCGTGTCGGATGGCCCCGCAGCAGAGAAGGCGGCTCGGGAAGGGGAATGTGCAGGAGGTAGGGCAGGGCTCATCCCTGGGATCTGCCAGGGTCCTTCCCAAGCAGCCACACAAGCTCCGGCTGCCTCCATGGCACCGGGAACCGGCCAGCTCCGCACTGGGAAGGAACACGTTGCCTATGAGAGGGACAAGGTGTTGGGGGGGGGGGAATCCCAGGTGGAAAAACATTTCCTTAATAGCAGCCTCTCAGCAAGGATTCCTCAGCTGGGCTTGTAAGCCAGACTGTGCCGAGCTCCGGGCACGGGCAGCGGGACGGGCTGGAGGCGCCGGGGCCGACAGCCCCACGGCCGTCCCCTCGCCAAGGAGAAGCGGCCAAGCAGCCCGAGCAGCACCAACAAACCTGCACCCACGGCAAATTTAAGGCATTTCACCCGTCCGCGGAGAAGGAGATTAATCCCTTTCCACCGGCAGGATTAGGCGACTATTGAAGCGCTCCCACCTGCTGGGAATTTCAGAACTTCTCCTCTCATCCTGCGCCCCGGCATTAAAGAGGGGGGACCTTGGGTGTGCGGCTGCTTTATCCAAGCCCCATCAGTGCCCAGCAGCCGGAGCGGCCAGGGCCACAAAGGCGCCGCTTCCAGGGCGGAATCGCGTCCGGGAAGAGCGGCGGATGATGCGATGTCTACCGCAGCAGGGGGCTCGAGCTGACATCCTCAAAGGCATCTTTCATCCTTATTTACACATCAGACAGCTGTGCGGTGTTATCAGATAATGACTTCATTAAAATTAGGCATCTAAATTCAAGAGGCTGAAACGGAGAGCGCTGGATTTTTCTGCCTGCGGTGTGGGTGTGAGGGGGGAAAATCTGTTCTCATCAATAGTTGGGGTCTCATCTCGCAAAATTCGGAGATAAATAGAAATCTCAGGTTTATGTATAGTATATAATTGAGAAGTAAATCTGATATAAATACATATATATGTACATATATATATGTATATATATGAACTGGCCATACATATATACATATATATATATATGAACTGGCCAACACCACACGTCCTTTGAAACACAAGGAGTGGTGAAGTTAGCACATACAGGGATGAGATTTACTTTGGA